TCGATTTCGGCTCTGCAAGCTGGCTTTCCCCCAATGCGACCACTAGCATTGGGGGAAAGCGAGCTTGCAGAGCCAAAATCAAATTTGGGGGTTTTACGTGCCAAACCAACGACGGGCATCCGGCACGCCCCAGCGGAGGACTGAGGATGAATTTGGACCACCTGGGGATCTTTTGACGTGCAGCCGAAAGCTCGGTTACACGTCGCCTCCTCCGGAATAAGCCTCCGTCAGATTGCGGGCCCCTCGGTCGGGATTCGAACCCGCCACATGGGGATCCGTAGGCCGGCGCTCTCGCCTCGGAGCCACCGAGGCGGCCAGCTTACAGAGCAAAACGGCGCTCTTGGCAGTTCGATATATCGGAAGCGGCCTCTATTTTGGTTCGATGTAACCATAGTTTTTGCTATATGTTATCACTGTAACATTACTGTGCACAAAAGTTGTTCAATGTAAGGAATAATTTGATGTAAACGGGTTCGATATAGTCGGGTTTGACTGTATTTAGAGAGGTCGAATAATTCTATATTGTCGAATTCGCTTCGAAGCGAATGCCGAATAGAACAAAATTGGATTTGCTATTCGTAATAATCGAATATTCGCCCATTCGCCTTAAAACCAGGCTAGCTGTGACGCAAGTCACCTAGCCTGTTCAAAGGGTTCAGCCTCGTCCATCCATCAATCCATCCTTTTATCCAGTGATGACGCCTGAGGGGTAAAAGCACAGGCCTTGTCTTCTAGTTGGTAACATCTATACGGTTTTGTGTGTCTAATTTCCCGCAGATCACTCGGAGAGCCAATCACTGCGATCTACGGAGGGAGCTACGCGAATGACGAGGCTGAAATTACGTTTAGACTTAAGAGCGAAGTCTACGCTGTGATACTGAACATCAAATTTCAGGTTCTCACCTCATGCTCACTGTAGCACCGCCATACTCTGTTTCGAATAAAATAGTTCTGCGTCGTTCATAGCCTTCGCAGTGCTAGGGAAGCCCACCGACACAACGGCTCTTCTTGCCGTGTTGGAGCAAGCAAGAACACCTGTTCGATTCGAACCACACTTCGCACAACACTATACACTTTTTCAGCGCTTATCACCTGGGCGAAAAATGCTGAGTCACTTAGTAGTGGATGCAGGCGCAGCGTCTGATAAACCGCACAGCAGAACTATAGCGCATTCTCAGAAGGCAGCGCGCAGAATGTTATTTTGGGAAAGGTCTATACTTCGTTTCACTTTAAGTTCGAGCGCGGCCGATTTTATGAGCAGAGGTGCAAACAAACAGCGCAAAAGCGCAACGTCATGGCGTGTTCTCTGCCGGCGGAGAATTACGTACAGAAATACGGCCAACACCGACCGGTCCTCCATCAACTGCAGAGAGCACGTAACCAAATACCATATAGCTTCGCCAATACTGGAAACTCTTTCGAAAAACCATGCGAGCGGCGGCGGACGCTACGGTGGCGACTCTAGCGGACTTGGAGTCTACGGAAGCAGACGACGCAATGGAAAAGTATAGGCTCCGCGACGGCCCTTGAGCTTTGCGAGCCCCGTTTCGTCTCCCAAACAGCTAAAACAATTTATTACGGCCAGTCCCCTTGCAAAGCGGAATCCACTTATCGCAACTGCAACGACAATCAAATAGCAACGCGCGCAGAAACAAAGATAGAGCAGTTTATTTAACGGTCTCAAACGCCACTCAGGGGACCACACGCATTTGAAGCGCGTCTGGGAAGCGGAGAAAAGGCGTTTAGCTGTTCGAACTACGTAATAAGAGGTTACTGCTGATCCGTTACAAACTGCGTGTTCACAATTGCTTACCTGAATAGGTGATCATTAAAACGTGCGCAAACAACGTGTTAAGATTACCTGAGCAAGAGCACCAGCCGCTGCAGCATCACAAAAACAAAACGTAACGAGAAAGATGATCGTGCAAACACGTTCCGAACTTCCCAGCCCAAACGATAATAAAACGAAATGGGGAAGAGTCGCGAATAACGGCGAATAAAACAAAGAGGTTAGCCGACTACAGATCACCCAGCAAAGATCTCCCTCAACGACGGCGATCGTTGCGGCGCTTATGGGGAAAACAAAAAATAGAAAGCAGCAGCAGCTCGGGCATCTCACGCGCACGGCGTCTGTAGCAGCATTGAAAGAACAGGTGGTGGTCGCCATCGGTGTTGAGTCCACAACAAACAAAGTGGAAGCAACATGACGAAACTAATCGAAAAACGAGAACTTCACTTTTTAATGCGAAACCATCAACTGTCTCATGAAGCGAGCTGACGTCATCCGTTTGAAGCCCGAAAACGGCAGATAGTTTCCCCGATAGCCTTCGGTTCCATTGGCTAATGCGCGTCGACGGGGCTCCCATTGGCCGCTGCGCCATGGCCTCCGAGATCCCGAAGCGCGACAAAGGGAGCGGACGAGCAGACTACAAAGGGAGCGGACGAGCGGCTTGCATGCTTTCGCATTCACAAATCATAAGCCATGCTTAGGTGCATCTCGAGCTTTCTTTTTCTTTTTAGGTTTTTGTTACATCTTTGTTTATTTGCTTTCACGGCGCTCGTAGGGACTAAAAACACAAGAGAAAAACGTAGTCCCAGCTCCCATTGCCCTGAAAATAAGAGTCGCACACTGCAATCTGCTCAAGCTAGCAGTGTGTGACTTTTTTTTACTTTCACATTTCTTTTCCCAGTGACTCTGGCAGGTTTTTCGTTTGCTCGCTTGACGAAGCAGCTCAAAAGTGCATTCAAATACTTGTTGACGTACGTGTCCAGGTAATCTTTGCGCAGCGTGCCTTTGTTACGAGTGTCGATCAGTGGCCTCAAGTACTCCTTCAGCTGAACCCTTGTCTGGCGCAATAGATCACTGAAATGTTTGTCGAAAGCACGGCCGATGTTATCGGCTACGTGACGAGCTAAGTCGTAAAGTGGTGTTATATTCGCATGCGAGTAATTCTTGTTCTTCAACAGAAGAGCTTTCGAAATGTTTCATGCTTCTGATTGCAGTTGAACTTGGCAAGCATGACGACAGATCTGACTGGCGGCCCACCCGGCTACGTAGGACTGGGTGTTCAGTTGTGCATCTGGTCTGTCGTCCGTGAAGTTCTCCGCGATTTCCGGGGAGTTTTCATAATCGTCTGCTGAGGCCTCAATGGCGACTTTGAAGCAAGAGTTGGATAGCTGTTCCAGTCTCATTTGGAAAGCTGCAGTAACGTAATTACTCATGTTTAGCCGCGGCCTTCTGGAAATTGAAAAATAATTTTCCACCACATCGCAACAACTTGTTTTTGTAGTGGTAGGCAGCACACGGCATGCCGGCCATCTCCTAGTATGCGCTGGTGTATGCCCGATGGCGGCCGGTTGATCAACAAACGATGACGCATAGCAAACGTGCCCGCGTACACAAATAAAATCCAAAAATACATTTATAGCGAGCTTGAACTTTTAATATATTTAATAAATATCAAAATGCACATATGAAGATTTCGAATTAGATACTTAATCGAAGGAAAAAATAGGAGGTTATCGCAGACGACAATGGAAGAAAACAAGAACAACAACAAAGTTGCAGACGACCCTCAAAATGTCCCGGCGTACGTAGCAGGCGAACCGTCTGTAGTAAGCGCCGAAGCCAAGGAAAAAGAGTAAAACTAAATCAAACAAGGCAAAGCAAAATGCGCAATGGTTCCAACGTCCCACATCAAGTAAACAAAAGTGACAAAAAACAAAAAAACAAAAAAAAAGCAGCGACATAAAAGCAGGAGGAAGAACGTAGCGGCGTAGCGTCGCCTCAAAACTAAAAATAGATTTTGAAAAATGGAGAGAGTTGCTAGACGGTACAAGGGGTGCCGGCCTTTATCGTAGAACCCGCAGAATACGTTAGTCGTCCCGGCGCTAACAATCGGAATTTGTGCACCGTATATAACGTGACCAAAATCACCATTATTTGCTCTACGACGTTCTACTCTTTTCTCTTTTGCATGCGCGAGAAATCTGGTTTTTCTTTAACTCCGAGTTTATTAACTCCAGTAATAGTGTCAAATTTGGATGTGCATTATCGACTTCTTCCAGAGCATACTGACATCACAGTCACGTACGTGGTTCGAAATTGCCTTTTGCTTCTTCATCCTGAGACGGCCTTAACTGGATTAGCCAGCTCGTCTTTTCGACAAAACGGTTTATAAGTAAGGCATTTGTGAGAAATGGGAATTGCAACAACAAAACAAATTGATCGATAAGAACAGTAAAGTTAAAACATTCGTGTTTTGCCTGGCCTACATAAGTTCTGACAGAGTGTTTTCTTTGGTAGAGCCCCAAAATTGCACCCTAAGAGCTGTAACATCGTTCTATGCTAAGAAAATGTTCTTCCCTCTTGCGGTGACATCTACCTTATAACATTCAAAGCAGCGAATATCCGTGACATTTTTTTTTCATCGGCCATCTCGCAAGGAGATGGGCAAAACCAGTGCGCTGTGGAGAATTCGTTTGCTAGCGGAGACTTTGAGCTCGCCAGGGGCGCTGCGATCAAATTTCGCCCGCACTCGGCGGGGGTTGCCAATATTGGCTTAGTATTTGACGCAATGACGTTGTGCCATTTTCGCTGTTTGATTTAACCTTCGGCTGGTAGCACCGGCCACGTTCCGAGCTAGGGTGAAACTGAGGATAGGTAGTTGTCATGCAGCTTTTTAGGTTTCGCTCTCATAGAGTGAATATGTCCTCTATTGTTAAACAAACTACAAATCAGGAGGGCTTGGAAAAGCTTTATACTTTTTCACGCGTTATACTGTTAAAAATGACAAAAATCAAGAAGACGTCATCGGTGTCTTGAAGTTAATTTTTCCTGGAAGCAGACAGCTCTTTGTTGACACGCAATAAGGCATTGCAGTAAAACTGCCCATTCAACAAACACGAGGAGAACATATAGTTTCTCGGAGTAAATCCAAAGGGGGAAAGGGACTGTGACCTCAGGATGTGCAAGTACCCTAATGTATCTCCGTTTTCAGGGACGCCGATGAAGCTCTGGCCGCTCTGAAGGAGAAAGAGGGCAAGGACGCAGTGAAAGAATGGATTGCCTTGAAGATACTCCACTACGGCATATTGGACGTTGTAGCTGACGCCAGATTCACGATTGACGACGTGAACAAATTAATCCAGCTTCTTAGGGTTCGACATTTCACACATCCTCGACTGGTTGGGCGAGAACGCCATTATTTTCTCAGCACGACTGTGTTGGTGATGCACCCTTCGCGCGTCACGTACACTCAAAACAAAAAGGGTGTATTCTTACACCCTTTGTCCCCTATAATACACCCCAAAACTTCCGTTCGGCGTACAGCGCACTGGCGTCGACGTGACGGTACTAACTTTTACGAGAGGCTTGATAGCCGTGTGGTACAACATGTTAAAATAGCTAATTTACGTGTTACTGACTACAAAAAAAAAAAAAAATATTAATCGGGGTTTTCTTGGCCCTATTGCAAAACCTCAAGTGTTCTCTTTTTGTGGTTTTTGATACGTACTTTAGCTATTTAATAAGTTATATTCAACTTATATCACACCGTTATTCATCCCCTCGTAAAATTGGGGGCCGTCTGTTCGACTGTTGTGCGCATTACGTCGAACTGAAGTATTGGGGTGCATTTTATGGGACAAAAGGGCGTAAGGTGATACCCTTTTGTTAGAGTGTAAGCTTATCCTAGAAGATGATGTTCACCTTCAGATAAGAACGGACGACGAAAATCGGTTATGCGTTTGATTTAGTCTTTTTAGGACGGTTACTTGATCTTAATCCGCGTGCTCCGAAAGTATTAGCAGATAGACTGCGCGCATTGATTTCATGTTAATACTAGACATCAGTATAACGCGCGAAGGAACCATGCCGTGTACGCGTTAAGTGTGTGCCCTGAATTTTTGGGCATATTTTAGGCATCGTGTGTAGTTTTCTACGCATTTTATTTAAACGTTTTTCTTCGGGGGCTAACGGCGAAACCAAAACTGCCGGCTCCAGAGAGTCGGCAACACTGGTGCTTGGCCTCCATGGCGACGGGCGCGGCGATGTTCCGCCACGTTCGTGCCACGGATCATTCGGCGTACTCAGTAGCACGAGGATTCTTAAAGGGACCATGAAATGACTTTTTTACTTTTTCCACATAACTCTTACAATAAACCGTCAATGTTCACTGAATGCCGAACAGGCATCCGTTTTCGTCTCGGTTTATTAACTTCTACACAAAAAATTAATGAAATATCGACTTTTTCTTGACCGCAAAACAAGCCGTGACGTACGATGTTTCCGGAACCGGAAGTTCTCTCTGCAGTAGGAGATGGGAGCGTTAGCGAGTTGGGGTGCGCCGGTGGGTTTTACTGCGCCGATGTCACCGACGTATTTTCTGAATCGGCGCCTCTCATCGCCGCATCGCAGCTGAACGAAATTCAATGAGATACGTTGCGCTACAGCGACAGCATGGGACTAGTCCCATACGCCGGTATGCCTGTTGGGAAGTGCAGATGGGAACAATTTGCCGCGGCGTTTTTCGCGGTCTCGGAGATGCAGGAGCGAGCCGACGTTAAAAAAGATACGTTTGAACTGTCAGCAAGAGCCACGTAAATACCTGTTCACACTCGGAGCGGACGCGCGCGTTTGATGAAGTGCTGAATTCGCGCTGTTGGTAAGCGCTTCGGGACCGATCTTTTACAATTGCAACTCGATACTGACGCGACACTCGGCAAAGAAAGGTTGGACCGGTATTGCACGTATACCTCCCACGAACTGTTACAGCTCGACAGTGACGTGCAGTCTGTCAGAATAAAAATGGCATACCAATAACAAAGTGTACATACCGTGCTACGAAGGTAATCCATACAGCGTTTATTTCAGCTCTATATCACACAAAACAAGGAGAGGATCGACGAGGGTCCCTTTTCGACGAGTGTTCGTCAACACTGCCTCGGAAAACAAGGGGAAGAGATTGACCTCACCTCTTAACCTAAAATTGAGGTCAGCGATCAAACTATAATACGGAAGGGTCCACAAGGGTAGCGCGGGCATATTCCATTCAGTACGCCAGCCGGTCGTAGGCAGACGGTCTTGCGACGAAGCAACGCTGCGCCGAGTCGGAGTGCCTGCTAGGCCTATATTCTGAGAGTTTCGTCGGAGCGGGATTCGCGGCTGTTGTCGCTCTTCTCGGGTGTTTGTGGATCCAGCGTTCTTGTTCGTCGTGGTTTGTTTTAAGTACATTTCTTTCTTGCTGCTTGAAGTCGGCACGCGCGAGATGAACACGTAGAAAAATAAACGTTCAGTCAGTCAGAGTTTTGAGAGGAAGGAAACCAAAGGAAATAAATAACCGTTCTGAACTTGGCCCTGCCCTACTGCGCACGCGCAGTAGTTGCTTCGTTTACCACACGATAGATGGCGCTTGGCTCTCAGCATTATCAAATTTGGCAATTTTCGCCACACATCTCTAATTATGCTACAAAATGTGGATCTGAATATTATTTAACAAAACTTTTAGGAAACATTCGCCGGCTATTTATTGTTTACGATCGCGGTGCTGGTGAGGTAGGCTCTTACCCAATAGGCGATGTGGATTCGGCTGACGTGCACCGATTCTGCGTATGCATCGTAGTGAAAAGGCAGAGCTTTCGAAGGAAAGAAGTCGCAAAAGAGTCCAGTTTTCTTTTAAAAGTTCTACAGCAAATAATTTTTTTTGGCTCCCTAGTCTTGTGTTTTTGTGTTCCTTTTCACACCTTTTACGACGTGCGGTGGATGAAATTCGATTTTAAAATCATTTCATGGTCCCTTTAAGAAAGAGGGCAAGCTGCTTCTAATTTACTGCTTTGCTTTATAGACCTTTTTTGTTTACCGTCGTCCGACAGCCACACAGTCGAGGAAACCGGTATGGGGGATAAAAAAGCGAGGCATTACAACCCGGAACAAGTAAAACAATATAGAAGGCAAAACAAGAATGATAGACAGTCCCGATTAAAACGTTAGCTTATCCCAGTGGTGTGGCGAGAGCAAAACGATTGTTTTCCACATACCGGATATTTCGGGATTCAAAATGGCGGCGCCTGCATAGAAAAGGTATATAGATCTATAATACCGGTAATAAACATTAGCGCGCATTCATGAAGATTACGACCGAAGAATGAGTTCGACCATACTGAGTTAAAAACAAGATATCATTGTTAGCGCAGCGCAGGTAGCGTGGCTGTCCCGGCTGCATCGCTCTATCGGTCTACGTATTTGAAACTGAAAATGGAAAAAAAAGTAAGACTTAATATTTAAAAGGGAATCAAGAAGTTAAAGCTGTTGCGTCCCACGATTAAGGGTCACCGTGGCAACAGCGGCGACACACCTTCAGTCTCCAGGTTTCTTGGAGACAAGCAGAAGCAGTCAGCAGCCCTAAGTGCCGTTCTTAGCTAGCCGGCCCATACGGATATAAGAGCACATAGAAGGAAGGCTGACTTGCAACTCCGGTATACTCGTCTTCTACCTATTCCTGGAATATAGATAAAGTATAGGACAAAACATTCTAAACACTTACGCAACCCGCAAGGTGAAACACAGCGATATCCGAGCTGTGACGTAGGAGTCCCTCTAAATTATCATTTCAAACTAGATGGACTGAATGAACGGCAAATGTGCGAGCGCGCACTGTAGAGCCTGCATAGGCGTCTCGCATGAATGCGAGTTCCACACTGGACGGAAATTCCGTAGCGTTTTGGAACCAGGGAGGGTATATTAAGTGAAGAGCATTTCAGTTGTCTGCATAACCGCTCATTCACACTGACAGCTCATTCACACTGGAAGCGGATCCGCATTCGCAAAGCGGTTGTGAGCGCGGTTGTATAAAGATCCAGTCCAATTCCACGCGCACTTGATGTCATGGAGTGCGCGTGCAATTGCACTGGATATTTGTACAACCGCGTTCGCAACCGCTTTGCGAACGCGGATCCGCTTCCAGTGTGAATGAGCGGTAAGAGGGGAGAGTGTTTTCGCACGTCACTTCGGTACAAATAGTCGCACGTGCTAAACGAAATTCCCCGAATAAACAGGGACAAGGAAGTAGATGAGACGAAGGTCACTCTCAAACGAAGGTTTATTGAAAGAAACACACACTACTAGCTCCATATTTCTGTTTTTTTGTTTAGAATATGAAACTCCCTATCTATCAGGTGCATTGACGGGAACTAACGCACATGTTTTGCCCTTGCTTTCTGACGTATAATACATGGTAAAAGTCCGAGGCAGTTTTATCCGGCTATCTACTGATAATTGTTGTTCGTGCTAATTCTGGGTCATACGAGCACCAACTCCAGTGGACTGGCAGATTGCTCGGCGGGGACTGCTTTAGTGGTCATGCATGTCATGTTGCTGGATTTGCAGATTGCTCGGCGGAGACTGTTTTAGTGGCCATGCATGTCATGTTGCTAGCATGCATGACCATGCACGTATCTTGATTGCTCGTTATCTTTTATCAGGGGCCCGTGAAGTGTTTTGACGAAGTGCCGAAAATGTCCGGCGTCGATATCGAGCGCGGTCGACGGCGCGAAACAGTAAAATGTTCCACTATCAGCAATCGCTGTAATATCTTGCATCGTTTCTAAAACACACTCAACTTTAAAAATTGCAAATATAAGAGTGCCTGGAGCTCAGCTCGCGTTTTCTACTTTGCCGCCCCTAGCGCGTGGCTATGAATAGCGTTGGCGGCGTGGAATAGGCGGCAGGCCACGTGGCCGCTTGTTCTGGCTCCGAGTTGAGGGAATGAACGATGCTCATATTTCCCGAATTTAATTTCGACTCCCATTGCTTAGAAAGAAAAACACCCACGCAAATTTATTCCGTTATTAAGTTTCGGGAGTGATTCTGAGTAGTACTTAGCGAAAGTAGAAAAATCGTTTCATGTTTTTAAAGGTGAACGCCGTATAGTTCCAGTAAGCTTGCGTGAAGTGTGAGACACTCCCACTCCATGTCGTTCCACGGCCGTACGGATGCCAGCGGTTCCGAGGAGAATTGCTAGATCACAACAGAACGGAAGGAAACTCAATAAGAAGCCCAAATCATCAGCGGAGACAGCAGCGAAGGCACGGGAAAAGAAATAGCTGTAGGAACATGACGTCATGTTTCCCAGCGTTGCTTCACCGACAGCTAACCGGCTGGCGACCCGCCAGGAGGCTGGTGATTGTATTTTTGACAACGGTATTGGGGGGAATTGCGGCGTCCCTTTGAAGTAATATTTCGGAATACTTTGTTCTAGTAAAGCGTATCTAGCATTTGTTTTGGTTCCGCATTTGAGCACGGTTACCCATTAACTTACCGCTTTAATAAAGCATCACCATGAACTTATCAGAGGAGTCGCGATAGAGACGGTACAAACGAAGACGACTTGCAGTGGTAATGGCTAAGCTTTAAAACTCGCCTGAAGCTCTGCGTTTTCCATTCCTCTTCCTAGGAGGTGCATACTGCCCGAAAGGGATCTACACAGGAAGGCAAAGTACACCGTATCGTTCTGGGTATGGCGTTCATCGTGCCGAACCTTGAAGCATATGACCGCCTTGAAGACCAGATACTGTAAGTAATAAAGTCTGTTGGGGCGGTGGATTATTTTTTTTTTCAGTTTTGCAGACCTTAAAGTGGTCAGAAAACGAAGATTTAGCAGGGTACTCTTGAAACAAAATGCTCATCGGTTACTTCGAACATACGCAAAGTTTTGCTTTTTGTATAGCTCTAGAAATGTCTATAAATAATCTAATAATCTTGATACTTTGCATATGGAGACAAGGCAACAATGGCAGAATTGTGACCTAGTCTGGCCAAATTTTAAAACGTTACGAAACATCGCAACAGGCTTTTTTTTTTAGATATCTCTAACAAGAAAAAAAAAAAAAAAAAAAAGAGGCCTGCGGCAATGATTGGTTTCGTTGTTATTAGGACAAAATGATTTTTTAATTTTTGATAAAAGCAGGATTTATTATTTTATGATACTTAACGCGCGTAGTTTAAATTTACGCTATAATAATAACACAGTAAATATCCCATCTTGGGCTAGGACACTAAAGATAAATTGGTCATTCGACTGCAGTGAAACAAAATGCCCGGCTCAGGCCCACCCGCGATATTTGTACCTGAACAATGAGCCCTGGCACCGCCATCGCCGGCATTTTTTCCCTGAACTTGATAGCCTAGATCGATGGCAAACAGCCCGTGGCCCGAACAAATCCCAAGCGACCGTGGTGCTTCCGGAGCTGGGAGCAATTCACTCGCTCGGAAAAATTCTGCGCCATCTACGAAGAAAGATTGCATATGAGTCCTCGGCGAATCCCTCTTAAAGCTAGAAATAAAATGTCACCTACATCACTAACCATGAGGATGCGTGGACTCGAATTTCCGATATCAGACTCGTATTAATCCCAACATCCCTAATAAAAATATAAAAAAAGAACCGTGTCCTCGCGGAATGTTACTAATATTTCCTTTCATGCGTTAGATACATGTGCATGTGCATCTTCGATTAGTCGCATGTTATTTGATGAAATGCACATGTTTCAAACTTCAAGATCATCGGTTCTCCTTTCAACAACCAAATCTCGTAAGAACTACCTGGAGCAGTGCAAGACTCAGACGCATAACTTCGCTCTTCCTTTTCTGCTGCCTCGACGCTCGTGCTTTATTTTTCGTTTGGCACAAGTTCGCCTATTAAACCTTGATTTTTCAGTTCACTGTTCGTCTTCTCGTCACCTTCGTTCGTGACAATATGACAACGATTGTAAATGAAAAAAAAGGAGAAAGGCTGAGGTATGGTGCCTGGAACGCGTCTCCGACTGGTGTGTTTACCGCCTCCAAAAAGTGGTCCCTTTATTTCCGCCTGATGATGTCATAGAAGTGTCATGCTGTCGCCGGTCGCGATCCTGGCGGCGTCCCAACAATTGTGGTGTATATGGCAGACGCCTGTTCTGCTGTAGGTCGCTCTCCACTCTGACAGTCCACGGAAGTTGAGGCAGCCGGAAGTTGGGACGCCTGGGGCGCCGTGACGACAGCGACACTCGCGTTCGCTCCTGCTTTTCGACAGCATTTCTACGGCCAACCGCCAGGATCGCGACAGGCAGCAACATGACACTCCGGCTTCTGTGACGTAATTTGTTGTCACTTTGGGACCACTTTTGATATATGCATATTGGAAAAACTAGCATGAGAACCAAACTGGCCAAGCTGGTAACTATGCTGGTCAATGCGGTCAATGTGGTAGTCAAGCTGGTTTAACTGACAATCAAGCTGGTTTACGCTGGGCAAGCTAGAATTTACGTTGGTCAGTCTGGTTTAAGCAAAAACCAGCATGGTCTAAGTAGAATCTGGTTTTATATTCAATCGGGAGCCAGTCTGGTCCTAACTTGTCAAACTGGTTTTCTATGGAGCCGATGTGGTCAAGCTGGGAGACAAGCTGGTCATGGTGGTAGACCAGCTGGTGAATCTGGTCGAACTAATAATCGTCGTGGTCAAGATGGTCATGTTGGGAGCGCGCACACCAAGGTCGGCTTAGGCTGAAACGAGGCCACGTCCTGTTCTTTGTCCTCTCGTTTTCTTAGACGACGGGGAGGGTCAGGCGCGCTGCAAGCTACCTTTGTGTGCGAGAAGAGAGAGAGCCAGAGAGTGGTAGGAACGGACAATTTGAGACGCGTTTGGCTATCTTGGGCAGATTTTTGGAAGGGACGGCTGTGCGCGCGTTGTTTGGAGATTACTTTAACGGCGGTGCAAGCGAAGCGGGTTTTGAGGAGACAGCGAGCGGCAGTCCGTTCAGTGCGGGAAGATGTCGGACGTCCCGACTGAGGCGTCGCTTCGTGTCTTCGAAAATGTGTGTGCTCGTGAATGACGGTGGTGCCGAAAAGAGTATCGCCAATGCCATCCAAGCCACACGGATTTGCTCGCCTCCTCCGACCGCGCAAGTTGCCGCTTCGCCCCCATTACTGGCGGGACCCAGGTTCGCTTCTCTCCTCCGTGTAGTTTTTTCTTCTTTTATTGCCTGTTTTTGGCGTGTGTCTCGTATTTTTCGTGTCGAAAGATAAGCAATCCGGTTTTATTAACATTGTTGGCTTTGCACCGAGAACCATTGTCTGTGCCTCGATTAGTACTGTGTCAGCGGCGAGGATATGTAGCATCTGAGTTCATGTGAGGCGGCCGCAAGTACGAAAATAATAAATTGGATTCCGAGTTGGCTTTTCTGAAGAGCTTGGCTTGTTTATCCTGTGCATTAATTTAAATAGGTTAAACCGGTTGGGAAGTCCACCAGAATGACCAGTTTAACCAGCATAACCATCATGCCAAACTGGGCATGCTGGGGCAATAACCCAGCTTGAAGCTGGGACCAGATCAACCAGTATGCATGACCAGTATAACCAGATCGACCACCATGACCAGTATGACCAGATCAACCAACATGACCATCATGCCAAGCTGGGCATGGTGGGGTAAAAACCCAGCTTGAAGCTGGAATAAGCTGTTTTTTTTTTTCAATAGGGTGGGCGGGATAAAACGCTAAGCACACCAGTCGAAGACGCGCTTCAGGCACCATAGCTGAAGGGTTTGCTTTTGCTCGCACAGTCTCGCTCCCCCCTCCTGAGCGCCCCCTTTCCATTATTCGCTGGTCCTTCTTCCATCAAATGTTGCTTCTAACTGAAAGAGAGTGGTCGTCTCTACTCGTCCTGGGTGTTTTTATTCTTCCAAATGAACGTAACTCTGCTTCATTTCACCATTAGTACAGACGCAACCGCTGCTACGAGCTCACACTGCCCATCAGACAGCACCAAAAGCGCGCCGTCTTGGTGTTCGTCAGGTCTCCGCACGTGTTTTACGATCGCTGAACGAGTTATGAAAAGAAAATGCCCAGTGACTCGCGCTTTTGACACTGCCTAATGGGTCCCATTGGGTAGTTTTAGAATGGCGTGCGCAAAGGCTCTGAGTACGCAAATAATAGCGTCGTCGTCGCTGCGCATGTCCCGAAGGTTAACCACGTGTTTCGCTTTGCGTGCGCTATTTAGCGTGCACGATTTTTTGGACATTGCATGCGTATACCAAGGGTTCTTCTGCTTCTCCAAGGGGGATCCATGATGCACTAGAAGTTTGTGTGTGTGTAAAACTTTTATTGATCCTGCAGCAGTAGCCCTAGACTACCGGACGCGGCCTCACGTCGTCGCTATAGCACCCTCCGAGGACTTTGCCTCTCTAGGAGTGCCGCGATCTGCTGGACGGCCTGTAGTTGTACCTCGCAGTTGTCGCTTTCGGTGGCGTCTTTGAGTTCCGGTGCAAGGTCCGCCTCTTGGCTTGCTTCCCGTCTTCTTTTGGTGCAGTCCCACGCGATATGCGCAAGCGTTGCCCTGTCGCTTTTACGTAACTTACACACGTCGTCCTGGAATAGGTCTGGGAGAATATGTTTCCCTATTCCTGAGGTTAACATGCATCTTGTTTGTAATTGTCGAAACACCACCGCCTCCTTCCTCGTGAGGTTGGGGTGGGGTGCCGGTAGCAGCTGCCTGTCTAGCCTGAATGTCCTAAGCATTTCTCCATACTCACAAGGTTCGTAATGTGATGACTGGCTGCCGGCTCGGTCTCCCAACGCGCGAGCCATGGCGTCCGCCACCGCATTTCCCTCCTCGTGAGCAGGGTACCATTTAAGTGTTACTTTCCCGCAACTCTTATTGTCCAGTGTCCTCGCTGCGGCCTGACTAATTCGTCCTGCCATGAAGTTTCTTAGCGCCCTCATAGAGTCACTGAGCACCACTTTCACTGTTGGCAGCTTGTTGCTTGCGACGCGCGAACATTTCTCGGTGTCGTCGGCGAAGGTACGACTTGTATACGTGTGCGAAGGTTCGTATACACGAGAGCTCTTTTGCCGAGGCGACGCAAGCGAACACGACCGGTCGACCATTCCCGCCGTATTCTCATATTTAAACAAATCTAAAATGTTACTCCGGACCAAACAACTTGTTTTTTACTCAAGTTATAGCATTTCGTGCGTGAAATAAAAATTGTTACTATGTCTTGGTGGCGTTGCAAGCGCGAGGGGCCCAAGCATTTGTGTCACGGCGCAGAAACACCACTCTAAAACTCATTCGCGTATCGTGCGCAAATGGAAGCGCAAATTTTGGCGCTAGCCTGCACTGAAGTTGCGTAAGATTTTTTTTTAATTCACTATTATCCCGCAGCGTGACGAAGTGTAATTATTGGCTATCGTTTACTTAAGTGAGCAGTGCGACAGTATAGGCCAGGGGTTCAATTATATGCGGTCTTGCTGGCAAAATAAGGCATCCATCCTTTTTGTAAGTGAACCTGCATTATCCCCGGAGCACGATATTGCGATTTTACTTCTCATTGATTGGCATCCCTAACTTTTTTGGAAATCAACGCCTCGCGCATGCACGAAAATGAGAATTTCAACTGAACAACAACAAATCGCAATGTTCTCAGGAATATTGTAAACGGCAGTCATAAAATAACCATAAGCAGTAATTAAACATATGAACGGGTAAAATGTTTACTCCAAGGCTCTACATTTTTTTTTTCATTGAATTCCATTGGTTACATTTACAAAATTGTCGAATTCTGTTCTCTTCGACAAAAGATTGTAATGTTGCTGAGGACTGCAATTGCCTGGGTGATATTAACCAGAAATCAATTAGAATGATATTTCCTTGAGAACGTTTTATTCCACGGAATCTCCCAGAAAGTTGGCCATGACTGATGAGAAGACCAATGATTGGTGGTTGCACGTGCGTCGCGGCACAGTTCACATGCAAGGCTTGATTTAAGGGAAGTCAGCGTATAATGTCCATGACTGGGTCGGGAAGAAACTTTGCGTGGTGGCCTTGTTATGAAGATGTTAACTCGCATGTTTGTTACTTCCGTGTCTGATTACTTGGCAGGTCCTTTACGATCGACATCTTCGTGGCCAGAACGCACATCTCGGTTCCGGATGACCGCTTCCCCGACTGCTCCATTACAGGTCCAACGGTCTGGGAGAAACCTCCCACTTACCAAGCGGGAATCGTAAGCGACTTCTTTTTTTATCATCTGGGAGCACAGCGTACTACTGTGGGGTATATCGCCAAGCTCCAGATAATATACCATCCCTAAGGTTTCGGGACAGCTCCGCTTATTTATTTAATGGAATTATTTCGATACCTTCAAGGCGTGAAGGCGTTAGAGAAGAGAATGGTAATCGAGAATAAAACGAATAAAAATGGAATATATGCGATACAACAACATAAAAGAAACGAAGGGTTATTAATAAGACAAAAATATGTTTCAGTGCCAGATTTAAAATTGAGTGGATCTGTTATGGTGACGATCGAGGTGGCCTGCTTCTATTCGTTGCTTGTTTTGTAATAAATAATAAAACAAACAGCTGTTACTGCGACAGTGAGTTACACCTCCTAATGGCTATGGTCCGCACGGAATGACAAGTATGACGGTTCTAAAAGCTCTTTGTTTAGAAATCTCACAACGCGCGCACAATAGGTACCTACTGTTCTTCTTTTTCTCCACCAAGGTGCGTTTAATGAATTCCTCGCGTTTTTGTGTTTTTATGCAGTACGAGACTCTCCTCTTCATCAAGAAGTTTAAGACCCTATTTCAGAAGCCCAAGCTGTACATCTCCTTTACCATGGCTGGCCGCTTTTACAAGGCAAAGGAAGCCTACACAGCCTCTCCACTCGGAACTTCCTGCACAAGTCTACCCTGGGAACCACCTGTGGATATCAAACAGGTGCGGCGCTGTAATCGCTTGAGTGTTTAGAAGATGACAGTATTTCCATATCTTATCCGACTAAAAGGGCATTCAATCAAAACGTCCAGTTTGCCACCTTTGTCAGCAGGAAAGCTGTCAGCGGATCCCAAATAGCGCATATGCTGACCGCTTTGGTATTTTATTGCAAACGAAAGCCATAATACTGGACTCAAGAACTTCGCCCGTAATAAAGAAAAACATTTTGTGTTAGAATCTGAGGCTGGGTTTTAAGATGATCGAACAGTCAGCGCCGAAAAAACTCTGCTTTTGCACAGATCCACTCGCCCCCGTATCCTGCGTGCCTCGCGTAAATTTTTTTTTTTTTTTGAGAAATGACCGCAGGTATTGCTTTGTTACAGAGAAACACAGATGACAAGTACGTTGTAGTCATACGTCTATATCGACGGTCCCCCGAAGTATAGTTCGGTCGAACTCCAGAGGGCGACAACTACGTCGCTAGAGCGATTCGCGTCCTCCGCGACTGGCCTGCCAGTTCTTTACGTTAAACATCACAGACAGGAAAATTGAGCCAAAGTTTCTTTCAAGTAGCTTCATTGCGGGAATTTATTTCCAGATCCGCGACCGTGAGTTATTGGGACATCCGTCACGCTGTAGTCGAAACACTGCTGACAAGATAATGATCGCAACAACAATAATTTATTTCAGACATAGTTGTGTCTGTGAGGTTGCGGCGAAGGAAGACACAACGTTTTCTGATATGGTCGTCAGCACCCCTTACAGCAGTCAAGCAAGCGAATAATGCATAGTATAAATACGAAACTTACGCAACACTTACCAGCAAAAACATCGACACTGTGACAAAAGAAGGGTGTGTAGAAAGAGAAAAGGCTAAACGTATTCTGACATGGTTATTAGTTCTTGAACGGTTTGCAGGAACAAAACATAAGCACCAACATAACCAATTAACAATCTTAATAATAAAAAAAATTACACCATCGAGAAGTTTTGACTTATAAACACAACATTCTAGGCAGACATATAACACACTTTTTTTTTCACACGTAACACCTATTGGACGCTAAACGTTACAGTGTAAAAATACGGTTTTACTCATTCCTAAGCACATAGACCGTGCTACTGTTTTGTTCTCTTTGAATTATATGCAAGTGTATTTTTTATTCGTAGGCCAGTAATTTGGTAATTAAATGCATGAGTTCTACAGGTCGTTCTGATGTTTGATTTAGTATAATACGTGCGACCGAGGGTGTATTTAACGGTACAGCAACGTGATGTTGGAGAGCCTTGAAAACGAATATTTTATAATTGCATGCGTACAACACATAGAGTTAAAAATAACTCCTATAAATGATTACGACAATTAGGCTGTGTGTTGTTATCTACAACAAATTCCAAAGGCTATTATCGCAGTTAAATTTATCATACCAAATTTTTATAAGTGGGTCTGAAAAAAAAAACATTTTAGTCAAAGTTTATGAGAGGGTCCTAGTGTCCACTAATGCTAAGCACTTTGTGACAAGAAACGGCTGTGACAAGGAGAAATGCTAGTAGAGCAATGAGTAAGCTATGAATAAATAAAATATATTCTGGCACTTTCCTTCAATATATAATCACAGACGTTCAGTCATTTTTCAAGAAAATCTTACCCAAGTGCTGTTCGTACTGTGCATAAACCTAAAATGATACAAACGAAAAAGCTAAATATAGAGAATTTTGTAATTTTTACTTGCCTTGTAAAGAACAATTTTATATCATGTTTGATTTAATTTCACCACGAAATACGAGGATAATCGACAAGACGAATATATTTTCCCCCCCTATTAAAAGTATTCAACAGAAACCGAGAAGTTTGTTTCAAATTGACGATCTTTTTTTAAAATCAATACCAAATTCATTTGTACCGGCGACGGAGGCGTGAACAAAAAAACAACGTCAACATACGTTGGCTTTTGCAAGGTGGTAACTTGGTCTTGTTGGTGATTCTTGAACACGATAAGAAGCAGCACTCAAAGGAATAGAACAAAAGGAAGAAACAAAGGACAAACAGTGCCTTTTCGTCCTCGGTCCTGTCCCTTTGAGGGCTGTTATTTCTCATGTTCAACGTCATATGTTGGTTCGACCAGGCCCACCCCTGTTTCCTCAGCAGGGGCAGAATCTCAATCGCGCAAAAAAAAAAAAAAAAAGAAGAAGAAAGCAAAGCAAACACTCTGCTTAAAAATGTAGAAAAGGCCCCTTGTCACTTTATGGCCTCACAGTATCAAGTGATAGTTCAACGTCATCAGAAAGGCGCTTTGAATGCGAAGTATTTATAAGTCTTTTGCGACATCAGGTGACACTATCACGTCATGCGACACGGTGCCGGCTTTAGATATTCGCGAAGTCTCCGCAATGTGCACTTTAGAGACCTCCTTACTGTGGTTACAAACGAAGGTGCGCAAAAGAGGCACCTTTCTGAAGGCGCATTTAAAACGCCTTCAGAAAGTGTAAAAAAAAAGAGCCAAAGGTTCCTACAGTAGCCAGAAAAATTTCATTTTCCTTCATTTTTTTCCCCCACCTTTTTATTGCTTCCCGTCTTTCTCACATAAAACCATTGTTTAAAGGGGGTTAGGATACGAAAATTAAACGAGTAGATTATTCTTGAAGTAGAATGCTCATAGGCTACTTAGGATATACGCAAACGTTCGCGATTTTTAGGGCTCTACAAATTGCAAGAATCAAGTTACAAATTTCGATCATTTTCATCTGGCGACCAGGCAACACTGCCCAAGTCGGGCCATAAACCACGTGATTACGAACGCTCTCTCATTCTGGGCGGCCCCATGATCGCCCAAGTTCGCCTCCGCCGCGGTACGATAAAAACTGCTCACGCAACTCGGGTACTGCAACGCTATGCTCGCCCTCGCCCCCGCCTTTTGCCCTTTAACCTTCCACCCTGCATGAACCTGCGAGATTGCCTCGGACGACTGCGACCACGGCTAGTTCGTTGGTGACTCGTTCTCGCTTGAGCTGATCGCCAGCTGGTCGTAGTCAAAATCACCAACTTCCAACATCTCTCGATGAAAATCACTCTCATCGCTGTTGCGATCAGTGTTGAAGATTTCGATGAAACGAGCGATGCCATAGACGTAATCGTAACGAACCGCATGCTCGAAACGCGGAAGGTAAACAGGATGTTGAAGCTCGAGACGCCGAGAGAGCCAAGTTTGTGAGTGCGTGCAAGGGGACGCCGTGAGTTGGGCACGGGACTTTGCCAACCCAATAACCGCGGCCGTTTTTCCGCGAAACTATCGCGCCATTTTCAAAACAAATTTATCAAAAATATATGAACATAAAATGATTTAATTTTGGTGTGTCCTAACCCCTTTAACGTCTTTTTAATGCACTTAGTAGAAAGTTTTCAGTGATTTCCGATGAAAGTTTTTATCGTTTAACCTAGGTACATAGTATGATATGAAGCTTACTACTTGGTTAACATAAACACTTTTTTTTCGGTCTTAACGCTTTTGTTGCTACATGTTTATTTTCGTAGTTGTTGGTTAAACGATGCTTACAAAAATATTAAGACCAAGCGGGTCACGAAGCAGTCGAATATATAAATTTACATAAATGTGATCCAAAGAAACTGAACAGCCATCAACCTAGTAGGTGTTTCTACTGTTACGTCTTAAGTATTTTTACATATTCGTTCTCTGTAATATTTATTTATACTTGTTTCTTATTGAAAGAAGATAAAACATCAAGAAAAATCAAAAACGCTAAAAGAAACGCGTTAGTTTTACGAGCAAACAAATGTTTACGAAAGTATGGCGCGGAAAAGGCAGCACGCATCCACAGCAACTTGGCACCACTGACATCTATGGCCGTGTTCCAAAATTAACTCGATCTTACTCCAGGGCAAGGGTTTGGTACCTTCGCGTTCCAAAACCTACCCGCGTTCAGCGCTTTTCAATCTGTGTTGTCACGTGATACGACCCGCCGGAGTAACTCGGATCCATTTGGGTAAGATTTGGAACACAGCCTATGACAACTGCTGGATCGCGCTTCCCCGCTCCGCGAGTGCGGCCACCGGAAGGCCATCTTGCAGGCAGCGAAATCGCGTTTTTGGAGCGTTGCGGAGGCTGGCGAATGGGCCGCCGACGAGTTGGCCGTCGACGAGTTGGCTTTCGACGAGTTGGCTATAGACCCCGCCGCAACACCGGTGAAACTTGCTTTCAAGGAGTTGTGCGTCTTTCCTGCGGCACCGCGCTTTCGTAAATATTTCCACGTGTTATCAACGGCAAGTCTCAGCGTCTACATAAGGTTTTCAAGAGCTTATTCGGCGAATGACGACGAACGAGTAGAAAACGTGTCATCAGCACGCTGGGGTCTAGGCCAACTCGTCGAAAGCCAACTCGTCGACGGCCAACTCGTCGGCGGCCCATTCGTCGAATAGGCCTATTCGTCATAGGGCAACTGGTCGAAGGAAAACTCGTCGAAAAGGCCATCTGGTCGCCGCTTCTTTAAAGCCAAATATATAATCCTTTTCCTTCAATTTTAAAGCAAATACTGCCCTATAATAGTCCGTGTTTTGTCTTTTATGTGCAACTCTTTCGTAAAAAATGTTTACAGTAGGCACTCTCTCTAAAAAAAAATGACATCCAGTCTGCTCTTTTTTGTCAAAGGTAACAACTTGCCGCTTTCGCCACTTTCACGGTAAAATGGGGCACGGTCACTACGTCGCTCGTGTATCGCTGGGGCGCGTGTTAACCCACCCGGCGCATCAGTTGATGCCGCTTCGCGGCGACCGTCTGGGGCGGATCACCACAAAATTGTTGACTCAACTGACCCACCCGTTCACGCCATTCGCGGCGACAGTCTGCGGCGGCTCATTACAAAAGAAGTAATAAAGAAAGGTAACTAAGGGACAATCCCGATATGACACATTTTTCAACTTGTCTAAAGGTTCTCTCCGTCTTTACCCTCTTGTAAGTTTTCTTTCAATCTTGTAACTTAACAAAGGCGGTGTCCCTAGTCCAAACACAGATAAAAATTTAGGTGAGAAGATAAAAAGGAACCACGAACTTTTACCGTGGACCGTCAATCAACCCATTCGACGAATCGCCCTTCGACCGATTGCCCCATTCGACAAGTTGCCCTTTGACGAATTGCCTTAATACGAATTGCCCTATTCGACAAATGGGCCGTCGACGAGTTGGCCGTCGACGAGTTGGCTTTCGACGAGTTGGCCGGATCCCGTTGCGGCGTGATCAAAGCTTCCTTTGGCACGCCTAAGTGCTCCGTGTCTCTGCCTTCTTACCGATACCGATACCGGCCGATTTTTTTTTTTTTTTTATTTATTGAGTTTTTTGGGGCCCGAAGGAATCAGAGAGGAGTGGACCAAAGTAGTACGTATATATTACGAAATTGGGCAGTTTAACACAACACACAACTTAAAATAGTTATGAACATCATTTTCAAAGCCGGCGCTCTCGTTTAAGCTGTCGATAAGTGCGGGAAGGCGATTCTAGTCCAGTGATGACGTAGGTACAAAATACTGATTAAAGGTAGATGTCTGCCAATGAGGGATGCCTACTTTACTCTGGTGATCGATACGAGATGAGTCATAAGATGGTTCTGATAACAGATGCTGGGTTATGATGATATATTTTGTGAAACAAACGCAGACGTGCAATTTTCTACGGAGGGAGAGGTCAGGCAAGCCTAAGGTTCTTTTCATTGTTGGCACGCTAGAAGTGCGGCGATTGTTATGCAGTATGAAGCGAACATAACGATTTCGAATGGCTTCTGGTGATGATGCAAGTGTTTTGGCTGGATCCCAGATCGAGGCGGCGTACTCCAGTTTAGTGGGGGCCAAGGACTTGTCGAAAGAAAGTTTTAGGTACAATGGTTCGCGGGGTAAATTTGAAGGTGTGTCGCGCGAAAATGTCTTTGCATCATATATTGGCCACTGAGTTCTGAAGCGTCCAGCTCTTCCGGCGAGTTGCTGTAAGGGGGGGGGGGGGGGGGGGGGGGATCTACGGTTGCTAATATGCACTATAAACCATGGCTATGTTCCAAACCTACTTTAATGGATCACATGGCAGCACGGATAGAGCAACGGTCTTTAGCAAGGAAGGTTTTCCAACACAAAATACAAGACAAAAAAAAAGACGCGCCACCGCCCTCTTTATTTTTTCCCCTCAACCCCCCCCCCCCCCCCCTCCTCCCCCTCCCTTCCCACCCTTTTCCGTGGCCGTTTCTAGCCCCGCGCGTCTCTAGCCCCGCGCGTGACACAATTTACCAATATACAATCGTCAGAGACGCTGCTCCAGAGGCCCAGACGGCTTCACGCACACTGCACTTGCAAAGCACATCCACGCGGAGTCGATTCTTGATCATATCGAAGCGTGCGAAGGCATAGAGACGCAGCACTTCGGCGTGCCAATGAAGCTTTAAACACGCTCGAGGTTTTTTTTTTCTTTTTTCTTTTTAAACTTCTTTGGCAAATGACGACGGACGAGTAGAAAACGTGTCTTCAGCAAGATGCCCCCAGCCTCTGTAACGCTCCAAAAACACGGGCATGCAAGATGGCCGTCCCTTGGCCGCACTCCTGCTGCAGCGACCAGCAAATTGTCATGGAGATCAGTGCATGGCACCAAGTAACCAGAACACAGATTGGATTGATTAAGCAAACATGGAATGAAGGTTACGTTTTTTTCCTTTTAGCATCATCGTGGTAATGAAAGAATTGCGTGGAGCCTGCTCTAGTCACCGACAGTGTAAGAAACTCAGGGCGTGGCTTATTATAATCAATCTTCTTGCGTCGTGATTGGTTCTTTGGCGTTGTTATCGGCTAATGTTGCAATCTGATTGGCTGTGGAGAAAACATGAGAGGCACGAAGCTCGTCACGCCCTGTGTTTCTCATGCGGTCAGGGAATATATTACGGAAGGTAATGCAGCAGAGTCTTTGTGCCTTTATGAGCGGACGTTGACACCGAGACAATGTCTCCAGTGGTTCCGCCGGTTCATGTTTTATGCAGATGTGCAAAGAGGCCAAGTTTGAAGCATCAGGATCCATGGACAGTAGGACGCAAGTGATGTATGTGAAGGAGCAAAACAAGGGTCTCATCTACACGTACGACAGCCAGTACACAATCACCACCAAGGTTTGTCTCCTTCAGCAGAGCCTGCTTGTTTGTGCGTTTCACGGCGGCTACCTTGCATATCATATACTATGCATCGTTTCATCTTATGTCCAAGCGCAGTCCAAGACACCAACACATACAATCGCGAACATACATACTAAAAGCGCAAATGACTGGGCCTCCCCTGTGCAGGATAGGTTGTAGAACACATACAAAAGCATGACGAACACCTTCACGTCGCGTTCTGGCGCCATCTGATTGGTCCCATCGGAGTGTATAGCGTTGACTGTACACGAAGTTAAGGTGAAACGAATTATAGGATTCGGTACAATCAAAACGGAAAGAATGTAAATACTACACTGTTTGTCTGGTCGCATATTTGTCGCGAAGAAGCATCTTGTAGGCTCTCTTTGTGCAACCGAGACCACGGAAGTGACCCGGGAACTCGCGCTCTACTTGTTGGCGCTGCTGGTCTCGTGCTCCACAGTGTTGACCCGGTTGACGAGGCCAAAGGGCTCGCATGCTTTCAGGCCCATGATGGCCCTGCCCTTCTTTACTATAAAAAAAATCCATGAAACCTTGTTTTCTGCCGACAAATACCGACAGGCGGACTTTTTTCATATGTTGTATGATGCCACCTCCGTAGCTGTGCAGAGTTGCAGTCGTGGGTTGAGGCCGCTGCTTCTGTTTGATCTTCATAAACAATGTGCGTGGGAGCAGATTGGCCTGTGCACTGGTGTCCACTTTAAGCTCTATCGGCTTCCCTTCTATCGTAGTTGTAATGGTCCTGTCACGGTTGCCTACCGATTGCACGCTGCTGGTTAACAAAATTTCATGCACATCAAAATCGCTGCTTGCCTCACTGGTTTCTTCTACGTCATGTATGCCAGCCTGCGCAGTCTGGCAACATATAGCAAAATGATTTTTCTTCCTGTATTTTGAGCATGACTTTCTGTGGGCTGGACATTTCTTTGGAGCGTGAGCTTGGTTGCAGAAGCGACATCTCCACTTGTCACTCTGCTGCTGCTTGACTGTCTTGACGATCCCCACCTTGGCTGCTGCTTCAATCGACCTTTTAACTGCCGCGTCATCCCATGTTTTCTCGTGGACATTGGCTGTTTCTTCGGCTTTGCAGCATTCAACCGCTATTTCTAAAGTCAAATCTTTTTTCTGCAGGAGTTTCTCTCGAATCGTCTTACTTGACGTTCCATACACGATCTGGTCTCGTAGCATGGAAGCCTTTAGGTCGTCAAATCCACAGGTCGCTGCTTTCAGCTGAATATCGCTTTAGAAATGTTCGAAAACTTCTCCTTCCTCTTGTCGCCTTGTCCGGAACACATAGCGTTCGAACGTCTCATTGCATCTCGGAAGGCAGTAGGCTTCGAACTTTCGTACCAGGACATCGTAATTTTGGGCTTCTTCAGCTGACAAACCAAACGTGTGAAATACCTCAATGGCTTCTTGCCCTGCGAAGTGCAGAAAGATAGCGGCTTTCTGTTGCAGGTTGCGACGTTCCTTGGGCTCTGCAGCCAGAAGGAAGAGTTCCATGCGCTTCTTGAATTTTTTCCAATTCTCTGCAGCGTGCTCTCCTAGCCGCAGCGGTTTTGGTGGCGGAAGATCAGTCATGGTTCGTGGAGACTGAAGATCACTTCTGACACCATGTATCGTTCTATTACCAGCGCCTACGGATGATGGACTGTACGCCAAGATGAGATAAGAGCGACTGACTCGTCGTCGTCTTTTATCTCCGCACCACGAGGCTATCCTTGTGGCTATCCTAGAGGTCTACCCACTATCTTCTCAGCCAGTCAGAGCTTAGCGTCGCTCTGACGTCACAGCAACCCCTGTGCAGGAAGCAGACGGCTTGCTCTTCGCATAGGTTCCGCTCCGTTGTCGGTAAATCCCAATAAATCTCAAGAAATAATCCCTGAGCCGTTTTCTTTTTAACTCGAAGAAAACAGGAAAACAAGCTCTCCTTGAATGAGGAGAACCCATGCTTTACGGGAAGAAATACTTATTACTCGTTGACCCGAATACTAAGTTTGTTCTCGTTACTCGAAATAAGTAATCAATTACAACTACTCTGGTTTAAAAAAAGTACGTAAATATATTACTCAATTACCTGCGATGAAAAATAAGTGCCATTGCACAGTTCCCACTCAACTGTTCAAGAGTTTGCTCTTTCTTCGAATTGCCGAACGAATTATTAAAAGAAAATGCTCAGTGACTTGCACTTTTGACGCTCCTTGATTGGTCCCATTAGCTCGTTGCGTAGGGTGCTCCTAGGAGTATAACTATTTATCGGAACTATATTTGAATGACGAGCGGGCTAGACATAAGTTACATTTCAGATAACCATAGGATTGGTTAGCGTTGTTGGTTACGTAGTTAAAACTCAGCTGCCAGGGTGTGTGATTAAGATTATAAGTTGCAGTACATGTAGATTCACGTGTTAGATGCATTGTTTTTAATTTGTTGGCGGTGAGTTTTAATATAGCATCGGGGATCCTCGTCTAAGCACAACGCGAGCACCTTGCGGAATGCTGCGATGCTGGTCGCAAAAATACTTTCAGTACAGAAATGTAAAGGGTGCGCGAACGCACGCAAACTGCAAGTTTACAAGAACGAGACGAACACCAAAGCGGGCTTCGCGTATGCACGCTTAAACTTGAAAAATAGCGTATGTATGCTTTAGCGTGTGCAACATGCACTGGAGCGAGCGCAGCGTTTTCTTGTGTACGTAAAGCGCTTACGCTTGCTTCTGTTCGCTATTCTAAATCTTACTCATACTAAGTACCATTGAACAAAGCTCAGACTACCGAAAAATATAATCCAAATCACGTTGTGGCATGCTGTGAGTCAGAGTCGCTCGATATAGCAAGAGCGCAGTAATCAGCGAAAGGTTTGACTAAACAAATATATGCAAGTAGCTAGTATACTATAAATCAGAAACACTAGCGGAACTAAAACAAACACTCGAGGTACTCCAGAGGAGACAGATGCGAGGGTGGAGTCAGCGCCATTACACTTTACAAACTGCGAGCGATTCGTAAAGCAGTATACCAGCCAGTTGACCAAGTCAGGCTGAATGTTAACTTGCCTTAGCTTTATCGATAGATTTTACCTTGTCGAAGATTTTTAAAGTCTACATAAATGCAGTCCACATGCGACCCTAATCGAGGAGGACTGTATTAAAATAAATAATAGCTAAGAGGCCTTTCCTTTTCTTTTTTTTTTCTTGCAAGTAAAACTCCTTAAGTTACGTTAAACGGGAAAAAAGAAGGGATATTATTTCAGAAAGTTAATGAGTTGCGTATGGTACAGCATACGTTTTCAGAAACTTAACGGGGACGCTGGTCAGTGAGAGGCTCCGGCACACGCACTGCACCGCCATCCACTCAAAACTCTGATCACCTAGTGGTCCTCGGGTAAGTTCAGCCAATGGGAAGGACGAGCGTTCGCATGTTCTATGATCTAAGCAGTGCCAAAAGGGGTGAACACCCGTTTACTACTCGAACTCCATGAACACGTGGTGGCGATATGACGTTCGCCCTTGTCAGGGGCTGGTTAAAAAAAGACGAATGTCTGAGGTAACATCTATACTTAGGGGCTTCTGAGGGTACGCTTTTATTTTATATATTTAAGTACTACCTCTTAAGGCCCCGGTAGAGCATTACATAGAGGAAATATATCAATACATAAAAAGGAATCTCTCCAAAGTCAATACCAAAAAAATAAATTCACAATTGTCACACGCACCAACACATAGACATTAGAAAAAATGTTTAAAACAAAACAGTGCTGCCGCCAAGCGACTGATGAACGTGCCTACAAGCGGTGAGTCATTGTGAGTAGAAGACAGTGCTGCCGCCAAGCGACCGATGAACGTGCCTACAAGCGGTGAGTCATTGTGAGTAGAAGACAGTGCTGCCGCCAAGCGAGCGATGAACGTGCCTTCAAGCGGTGAGTCATTGTGAGTTACGCAGCTGCGTAACTCACAATGACTCACCGCTTGTAGGCACGTTCATCCCTCGCTTGGCGGCAGCACTGTCTTTTTTAAAAAAATTTTCTAATGTCTACGTGTTGGTGCGTGTGACGTGAAGTTACCGTGAAGCGCCGTGCAAGTCCACGGTGTCGTGAAAGAAACCATTGCGTTGCAGATCTGCAAGAGCCGTAAACCGATGCCCGCCGTAGACGGCTTTGCCCTGTTCGACTTGGAGCTCGACCGAGACGAAGTCAAGTGTCCGAGGAACAAAACCGGCAAATTCAGCACCCTGCAAGACATCCGGAAATTGGCCGATGAGTTCCAGTCAACCCCAGCTCATCGACTCCCAAAAACTTGTGAAGGGCTGTCTTTGGCTTTTTACTAACTTCCAGGATAAATCCCATGTGTTCTGTCTTGGTTGAATGACTCGCGTCTCTGCGTTTCATCACGATTACGTATTGGCGCTATTGACACGACCTTATAAGGGCGAGATACCGCGTGGTCATGTTTTGGTGGCACGCAGTTATAAGCAGGGTTTCCCGAGAGTTCCTCGATTGCACAGCGCCCTTCGAAAACCCGAACTGCACGGCAAGAAATCTTATTTGCAGGCTTATCTTAATTCAATTGGGTGGTCGAAATGAAACACGATTGCTCACGTGCGGCAAGACCGAACTCCGAAACCTTTTATCACTATAGGGGTAACGGGTTCTTAAGCGGATATCGCACCTCCCGAGCTCTATGCAATTCCCATGGCAACTTTTTAGTATTTTCTCTCAAGAACCACCGAACGGATTCACATGGGAATGGTTTTATTAGAAAGGTAAAAAAAAAAAGAGTAATGTTGCGGCGCTACATTTTCCGATTTTTAAGCTTAAAATGTTTTACGGGAACTTAAAGATGCTTAAAAAAGCCTTTTTTTTTTTGTTCTGTGCTTTATAAACGTTTAAAAATATACCGCGGCCTAAATACAAATTTAGGCTCGACAATATTCAAGACCAGGAATTTTCGAATATATCTCTTACAAGATATTTTTTCCAGAGATTCTCATTGTACTAAATTTTAACTAAGTTTGTAGCTTATAAAAACGTTAAAAAATACAGCTGTCAGGTGGCGCCATTTATCAGTGTGTCCGCAATACTTGCTCTTGAAATTGCGCAATGTGTTATTGCGCCCCGGACTACTTGAAGGTCGTCGGGTTAACAGTCGGGATTTTGAAGAAGAGTGCCTCTCGAAACAGATTTCTTTTTTCTTTTTTTTGTTTTTGTTTGAGGAGCGAAGATATTTTGCGGGTTATCGCGATAGTGAGTAATAGGTTGTACATCGCCCGAGGTAGTCCTTGGGAGGAGGTTCCGTTCTTTGTCGGTGGTTTGGGGTCACACAAAAGCAAGTAAAACGTTTCTTGCTGCTCTTTTTTTTTTGTTTCGCGGCGGAGATATTTAGCGAGCGGTGAGAATCATTAGTTTTCAATCGCCGGAGCGCGTCATTGGGAGGATGTTCCCTTCTTTTTTGGCATTTTGCGTCAAGAAAATGGGAGTGAGATTTCACGCTTCAAGCGGTCCTTGCGTGAGCCAGAAGTTAGCAAATGCAGGCGGACAAAAGCTACCGAAGGGTCAAAGAGTAGATACTGCTTTACCACTCCTTTCTGTCAGAAGTAGGATAGGTGATTTGATCTGGCAATTTCAAGTAATTTGCAGAGATGCATTTAAAATGTTTACTTGTTTTAAATGTGGAAGAAACATACGTGTGTTCGGTGATATTTGTTTTTTTTTAAATTCCGTCATTCGCTTTGCATATCAACTTGTGGAGGCGGATTTATACCCAAATAAAACAAACATTGCGAAAAAATTCAGTGAAGCTAAAAGCAGAACAAGCTTTTTGGAAGTAGGCGTGACACGTTGCTATTTGGAAGTTGTGAAAGTCGCGCTGAAGATTCTTTGTTTGACCCTACCAACACACTCTTGGTTCAGTATTTTATGAAATAGAGGCAAATGTATAAGACAAGAACCCGCACGCCTTTTATTATGGTAGAGTGGAAAGTTGGGCTAGTTGGTAGTTATTTATCTTGGTTTTAAAAGCGCACAAAATACGAGGACAGAGTAAGAAACACCAACGACGGACGAACCCAAAAACTTGATGGTGCGAACAGGTCGTAGTAGAGAGTCCTTGGGGTTGGTCTTGATACCCATTTGGAAAAGCTGGCCACAAAAAGTTCTTGTTTGTTGTTCGAGGAATAACGGTTCAGGGTGGGCGAATAAAAAGTTGTCTAAATGTGCCCAACACCAAAGTCCACGTGCACGGGCCTCTCGGGCGAGCGCAGTTGCTAGAGACTGCATGAAGAAGGGAGCGGGTCTAATCCCAAAGGGTAGGACACGGTACCTAAAGTAACGTCCGTTGATGCGAAAAGTGGTAAGATGCCTAGCCGCGGGTGCCAAACCAAAATGGTAAATTGCATCTTGTAAATCCGTTTTGGTAAAGAAAGGGTTCCGTGGCAGGAGAGCCATTTCAAGGGCTGTAGGCAAAGCCGGCAGTCGGAACTTGGGGCTAGGCAAGGTGGACGTAAGGTGGCTGCAGTCCAGCACAAAACGGGAGAACTCTTGTGATTTAGGCACAATCTGAATAGGATTCAGGAATGGGCCGCAACGAGTTTCTTCAATGATACCAGCTTGGAGCATTGAAGCTACCGCGTCTTGCACAAAGGGCAACTGGAAGGCGGGAGGGGTCGAGCATTAAAAACAGTGGTTGCCGTAGAAAAAAAGTTGAGCTCGGCCGGGTTAAAGGGACACTGACAGGGTATTTATGCTCGCCGAGGTTTTTAGTTGTACGTGACATATGAGAGCTCAACTACCCAGAACACAATTCGCGACTCGAAATTCGGTTTCTTTCCGCCCGAAAACCGCCGATCAAGAACTGGCCGGTTCGAGTCTCGCTCACTCTCTTTTCCGCGGTCACGGGCCGTTTTCTAAGGTATCGATGCGACCACCAAATTTAATCAAAGTTGTGGGTCACTGAAGGCACACACTCAATATCAAAAATAGAAAAAAACATGAAACCCATTTTTTGTGGCTTCTAAAAAGCTGCAAATACGTTGATTGAAAAAAAAAGTTTCACAGACAACCGGAAGCATTCTGTGCGTGCGTCGTTTCGCGTATCGTGGGACCCGCAGGGACGCGATGGCAGCGGACGACGGGCGTGGGACCTTTATTTCAGAACTGTCGTTCGCGGCACCGGAGAATTTTGTCTGCCTTTAAAAGAGAAATTTGGGACTGGTCAAAAGAATTGGTCTTCATCCTGTACGACACGCCCGACCACCAAGCCGATTTGCACGAAGACGTCGCCGAGCCGTCGCTCCCTTCTCGTGGCTGAAGACATCGCTCGCGCAAGCGTCAAGCACGACGTGTCTACTTCGAGTTGAATATGCACGCGTACGATTTCTTTACAAGGTGAGAATGTCGCCAATGCGGGGTGCATCCCGACTTCGACCCGGGAGTGCTTTTGCCAAAGGAAAATCGGTAGGAAACTTTCCAACTTACAGTTTATCGGCTGAATTATTACTAAGGAAAAAGATCCCCTATTTTTCCGTGTGCCCCAGTAGCTTAGCTTAGTGGGTGTTATTTCTGCTCGGGATGCATGCGATTTGGAGATCCCGTACGGATCACACGCTCGTTGAAGAAAAAGGCAAGCCTGCTTGGAGCCATTTTGTCGAAGGCTTTTTCTACACTAGTAACCTGTTAGAGCAAACGTGCATGCCCGGCTTCGAGCAGTGGTCCGTTATGCAAGCACGTTTAAAAAACTACATGGTGAAAAGAGACAAGTTCATAAATAGAAATTGTATAATGCTCAACTGATCCTATGAAAATTTGATTGGGTGGGTTTCTATACATGTGTGGCTTTGGCAATGGCCAAGAAGGCCAGCTTTTAAGTCTGTAAATAAAAACGTTTTTTAAATAAAGAAAAAAAAAAAAAAGCCCCAGTAGCTTAGTGGGAAAGACGTCCGCTTTACACGCCGCAGGATCGGATTCGATCCCCCGTGAAACTTTTTTTTTTTTCATATGTTTTTTGATGTCTACATTTCTTTTCTTTTTTTACAATTATCACTGAAGAAACAAAAAAAAAAATAAGAAACAAATGTTGTGGACGACACGTCGCTGAATTAAATGGTATGGGATTTCCTTTTTGACACCTGCGAACTCAATGTAATCACTTTCTACAAAATGCAAGGAGCATATAAATCAGGTAGCGTCCGCTTTCCGAGGTGCCCCTAAAAGGTCTACAGGAATTGCAGCCAGCCATTGGTCCCGATCCCGTTGATCTTTCGGAAACTCTGTCGCACAATGCCACTTCTGTTTCGGACGCAGGACATGTGAGCCAGCTCTTCACACAACATCTTGGGTGTATTCTTTTCGGAGCCGATCAAAATTCACCACGAGCACTCACTACTCATCTCCGACTCCTCAATATACAAAACAACTCATCTTGGAGTACAGAACAACGAGCGGAACATACATAACTGCAAAAGAATCGCACGGCGAGCAGTTCCCGCACGCCGCATGTCGTGTCGTCTGCTAGAAAGAGGAGAAAAAAAAAACACACGGTCGGGTGTAGCCACGTGACTTCCGCCACTCGCTCTCTTCTCTCCACTTCTCCGACCTCCGTCGAGTTTCGGTTTCGGTTTCGAGCAGTTGCGTCTTTTGGCTTTATTAAAAAAATACGCTACTCTGTTGCAAAATATTAATTGGGTAGTCCTCCGACACCATAATTAAGCGCCTGGCAAAAAATTAAAAAAAAAAAAAAATTTGGGGGGTGTCAGTGTCCCTTAAAGGGTGGGTGACATCCACAAATATCGCTCACCGCCGCCCAGTTGACTTGAGGCACTGACAGACTTGGGCGGACCGGACAATGTGGGGGTCCACTCGCAAAGAAGGCCGGCCTGCGGCTGTCATCGTCGGTAGTGTTATCTGAGGAGTCGGGGTCCTGGGGTGGCTGGTTGCGTTCCAACCAACGCAGGATACGGTCAGCTGCCGTAGCTAAGCTGTCGTCCTCTGGGAGGTCCACGGGTTCGGCGGAAGAAGGTTGGTCCGTAGAGGGACTAGATGCAGAGTTCTCAATTGTAGAGTCGTCATCGTCAGAAGGGGGCGATGAGGGCACGTAAGAGGAGTCGGCGTCAGAGGGCACGCTGTCCGGGGAAGGCCAGGAGGGCGCACCAAGGTTAGCCGGAAGCTGGGGAAGGCCCGCTTCCTGGATGGCTTGGGCCAAGAGGTCCGGCGGCTGCAGGACATCTTGGAGGAGGGCCAAGGTTGGCACTCCGTCTACCACTGCAGTCACAGTCTGTGCAGATCCCAGGAGAAGGTCCAGAGCGCTCATCCGTCGTTTGTTTCTTACTCTGTC